CCGTGACCACGGCTACTGCAAAAGTATTGGATCTAACTATCAAATATTTTTTGTGTCAAATAGTAGTAGTAAATAGTATCAAATACTATCGTGAATAAAAACACTTTATGTCACCCTTTGCAAACATATCACATCGGATTAGTGAAATACTATCAATACACGGCCAGTTTGACGTCTGTCCATGACACGGAACCCCACGTAACGACGGAACGCTCTGCTATCGGTCACCGGATATGACGTCATCACTGCAACTGGACGAGGGACGCGTGACACTTGTTTTCAACAAATTAATGTCTGTTCCATTTCGACGTTCTGTTTTTTACACGGCAGTCGGCGCAGATTTGTAATTAACGAGCGATATTACGAGCTATCTGTGCTGGAACTGAATCTTTTTCTTTTTAAGGGAAACTACACAGTTGCACACGTCTTAAAAAACACTTAAAACATTTCTTCGTAAATTAAGAAGACAAAGAAATCGCGTCCTGACTTTCATACATTACCAATGCATGTATTCTAGAAATTGCAAATATTCATATTTTTAACTTTTTAACTTCTTGATTCTCCCCCTACAGGCATGGAATGCCTAAACACCTTTCGATATGAGTAGTAGCAATATCTTTATTGTATTTACAATAAAGAAGTCAAAAATGTATGGGTAAAGTGTTAGCAATTCCAGTTAAAGATACGTTATCGATTAGCACAAATTGTCGTACTGTATTTCTGGGTTTGAGTTATAAGAATCTATTTAATTTCTATCCATACATTGAATTATCAAATTCAAACACACGTAACATTACTCATTTCAAACATAGTTCAAAATCGTTGCCAATAAATCTTGTTTTATATCATATAGTGTTAGTAAAGTAAATGAAATGTACACTACACTAAGTACTTCATGCATGCAAACCTACGTACGTAAACGGTTGTTCGAGCTATGTGGGTGGTATTGATATTTATGGCATCATCTACCCTATTCGCTTGCTTTAAGATTGATATTCCCGTACGTGCAATAGATAAGACAGTAGATTTACGACTCTATAGTCACTTAGCGTCGATCCGCAATACTTAATGTGCAATCAGCCGATGCGGTTTTTATATTGTCCTTTTTATCTTGGCTAAGCCACTATTTATGTTCTCTGGTGTTAGAGATACCAGTGTTCATTATCGGATGCTTTTGCTAATCAAAATTCTTAGATGAATTAGCACGAAGCTTTTAAAATCGGTGAGCTCGTTGCTCCAATGGTAGCAATGGCTCATAATTGACTGGTTGTAGAAGAGTGTAGGTTTATTGTAACGATGTAAAACATGTTTCTAAAAATAAGTTTATAATTTTGGATAAAACGTGTGTTAGACTTGAAAATTTCGAAATTCCGACCGGGTCACTAATCCACCAGCCGACGGGTGAGAAGCTGTAGATTTCTGAATGTCCAAAGCTTTGTTTCTTTACCTCCTATTAATTGGTTGTTGGGAGTAAAATACTACTTTACGCGACTAGTACACATTAAAATAAAACACTAACGGTTTAAAACGTGATATATTAGTTGATCCAATTTGAAAATGATTTTAATTTCAGCCCGACGTTTCGGATGTTTTGCAGCAGCCATGGTTACGTTAAAGTGTTTTATTTAAACATTCTCAAGCTTATATTGCTTCTCAAAACGAAAAATGTTATACTAATAAAAAATAAATGTGTAGTTATCGGAATAATAGCTACGTTCGCAACGTATGCTAGTACACGTGTTTTAAATTAAAACACGTGTACTAGCATGTTAATAAACAAATATTAAATTAATTTAGATAAAATCTCATTAAAAATAATTTAAGGTATTATGTTCAAATCTTTATTCATCAACGTCCCTCTCTCTGCAGAAACAGAAATGATCTAACAAATTATCTTTTACCAAAGCTTCATCACAGAACATAAATAAGCAACAAATTGGTAAAGATGAATGGCGCAAAGACAGAATTGCGCCTTGTTATTTGGACACTGATTTCTTTATTCATCGCTCATAAATCTTGCACCCCACTGAGTTTGATTAAAACATGTGCAAGACTTGTGAGAGCTTCGCTTCATTTCTTTTATTGCTCTAGATCCTCTCTGTTAATGACTCTAATACGAAAATGACGGAAATATTGATATATATTATAAGTAACTGGGCAAGTGTGTGTTGGACTCGTACATACGAATAGTTCTGTTGGCTGGGTAAACTAACATTTTTTCGTTATACATATATATACAAGTAGTCATGTGCTACGATTTATTGGTATTGAGCAATGATAGTCAAAAGATAACTTTTGATAATTTTTGTATTGTAGCCACCAATAAATATTTATTTTATTTGATTATATTACAAATTTAAGTAAATATTTTTTTGATTATTTCAAGTTCCTACATTTTTATCATATAAAAGATAAAAGGGAAAAAAAGTTTATTGTATGGGAGCGCCTTATAAATATTAATTTTGAAGTACTTCTTAACTTATGTTCTGGTTAAAGCGACAACAGAGAACCTGAAACTGCATGAGAGCCTGGTGATCGATAGGCAGACGGACGGATGTCCAGAGTATTATTAATATTATATATATAAACGTTGCGTTTTAAGCTCCTAGACAGAACAGAAACTATTTCCAACAATGAATACAGATAAATCATTAACTAATTGAATACTAATATTTGCACTAATATCAAAATTAGTAAATCCAATTAAATCCACATGAATTAATTAGAAATATCTAACGCAAACAATCAAACTGTTGCGTCGATGGTCTAAATAAATTTAATAACATTCTAATCAATTGATCATTCCACGAATAGCAGATATATCACTGCTTCGATTTGAGATTATAATTATACTAGCTATTAGCATTCCGCAATTAAATACATTCAGTTTAGTGTTGGTTATAAGCATTTCCTTGTTGGCCATACATTGGCCATTTCTTTTTTACTACTTTATTATAAGTAAATACCCTTTACAATGTTATTGTAGAAACTTAAAGATTAGAGGTGAAGAATACGCCTTCGTAATTTTTATCTGTCTACACCTGTGACTCAATTAAACGCGTAGGGTTTATAGTAAAAGGTCCTGAATTCGAATCAAGGGGAGGGGAATATTTTCGTTAAACCTGGACATAGTAAACAGATCTAACTCTCATATCAATATAACTATCGTAATTAAAAGCGTACAATAAAATAGATACAAATATTTGTTTGTTTTATGTCGCACACAGAGAAAAGGTGTTTTCACATCTCAGATTTTTTTACGGTGTTTTCATGGAGTAGGTACTCATTTTTTAAAAATACTTTCGTATTTTGTCGTTAATAAACAGATAGATTTAAAAAGTGTAAAATAAACATTTTAAATTCATAAATTTCTCCAATTAAATTGACGAGCTGTGCCCGCGACTTCGTCCGCGTGGATAGTTACTATTTATGGGCATTAAATGTATTTTTCCAAACATCCTTTATTAATTCGGCCCGTCCCGGCTTCGCACGGGTAGACATAAATACGTACAGACATTTAAGTTATAAGGATGTTTATCAAAACAATCATGAATCACTAAATTAAAAAAATGCAAAGGATATTTTAAGGGCAACAGATGCCCCCAAAGATGAATGTGTTCCCGTTTTTTACACATTCTTCACTGTTTCTTCGCTCGTATTGATCGCATCCCGATGTTTTGTAGCCCCGATAAATGAACCAATCGTTCCTGAGATTAACGCGTTCAAACAAACAAACTCTTTAGCTTTATAATATAGTCAGTTGTTGATACTTCGTTTTACACGAAGTAACCGTAAGCGTCAGAATCTTTCGAATCTTACACAGATTCGCTGCTTGAGAATGTTGGAATAACGAGCGAAAAATCGACTTTAACCGTGAGAGGATTTAACACTTTATTTCCTCGCTTTACTAACTTGTGGGAGCTTGTTTTACTGACTTTTGAAAAGTATAGCAAGAATCTTCACAATGAAGTTTTGATTCAGGTGATGTATTAAGCATTTATACTTTATATTATTTTAAATCTTGATCTACCCAAGTTGATTTTTTTTTATGTTTGTTGGTTGATAGCGCAGTTGATGCAAACTACGCGTTGATACATTAGTAATATAAATTTTATAATTTTTCCCAGCTTAACAATTGATTCGTAGCTACGAACAATTATTAAGGTACTATAGCAAATTGTACAACGTAAAGGTCTGGTGAAATATTATAAAAAGGGTTTACTCCAGTTCAGTGGCTACAAATTTGACAAAACAGTAAGGAGCAATCTCCAAACAATTAATAGGTATGACCTACTTAACAAACTTTGTGGACGATATAATAAAGGTTGCCCCTTATAATGGCGACTGCTTGCTTTCAGCTGCGGTCCGTATTATTAGATTAACTTGACAAAAGCCAGTCGACTCATCGCTTAATTATTACGACTGCACACAAATCATCCTTCTTCATTATCCTCGCTCTTTAGAGAAACTATTTTTATTAATGAGGACTCGAGACGTTTAAACGTGCACCTATTTTTAGCGTGAATATGCAAAATGAAACGTTGAATATTAAAATGGAGCACGTGGTCGCACGTGTGTACCATTTTTTAATTGAATCAACAAATTAAATAATTTAATGAAATGCATATGAATTTAATACGTACGTATATGTACATTAGTGTGTGAACCGAGACGTGTTTGACCGCCTCTGTAGCCAAATGCTTAAACGTATTGCCTAGCATTGCATTGAGCGCGTGAGAGTTCGAATCCCAGGGAAACAAAAAAAATTTGTTTCGGTCGGGCAGGGCACAGAAGTCTGATCAACTACTTGCCCGTTAAAAGAACAGATCAATGAAACGGACACAGAAATGTGTTCGCCACATGCCCCACGTGAGGGAAACGGGCTTTCACACTATATATTAAGTGTTATATGTACATAATATTAAATTATTCCTTTTTGTTACAGAACTTGAACACCACCCAACAGTCAATGAGGCATCTTCATATGACTTCAGTGGACAATGCGGTCGCAAACCACGAAAACGGTTGCAAAGAAGGGAGCTTCAAATAAGACATCATTTAAAACGAAACCCGTAAAAAAGAGAACAAAAAAGAAAGTTGTTTCCCCGAAAAAGATTAAGGCTTTACAAAAATCTGTAAAAAATTCTAGAAATAATAAAGATGACGATGCAGATAGTAAGGAAAGCGATGATCAACTTAAACCAGAATCTCCGTCACCGTCGACGTCCATTGAAAACTCAAAAATGTCATCAAAAAATGATAATCTCACAAAGAAAACTAAAAAAGAAACCAAGGAATCAAAAGATATGAACACAACTAAAACCAAAAAAGTAGTTTCAAAGAAGCCTGGAAATGCTGCAAAGAAAAATAAACCTAGCCCCAAAGTAAAAAAAGCGGCGAAAGATGTCGTGGATACGGAATCTAAAAAAAGCGTTGATACACCCAAGAAACTTACCAAAAGTCAGAAATCAAAACAACCCAAAAAAGGAAATAATTTGGCAGCAAAAACTAAAAACATCTCTGAAAACCTGTCGGAAATCATTGTAAAACAAGAAAAAAATAACGACACTGATTTATCAGATATACCAGTTACTGAAAGTAAAAAAGATGATAACACCGAACTTTCCGATGAACCTTTGACAGAAACACTCGAATCTAACAATAAAGAAGATCAGAATAAATGTGAAGTAACTAGTCCAAAATCAACAACCATTATTCTTTCACCAAAGACTCCTAAGTCTGATATAGAGAGGCCACCAAAATTCTTTACATCTACTAGATCCCCGAGAACGGTTGATATAGATGTTAAGTGCTGCAAAAATTCTAAAGGTAATTTAACAGCATCAGAACGATTTCTACCCTTAAAATGTGAAGCGACGATTGATGATATCAAGGAGAAAACTTCTTCAAGCGCATTCGTTGCTCAGGGACCTGATATAGATGTGTATACATTCACTGAAAAAGTAGATTCACCTAAAAACATTTTGTCGGATTTTAGAAATCCAATAAATAAAACTGTAGGACGTGTACGACCAATAGCTCGAGTAAAAGGCACAGTAATTGACAGAAGAGGAGAGCCTGAGAAAAAGAAATATTCACCTCATAGACCTATTGAAGAAGTTGTAAAGCAGCTAAAAGCTAGTAAAAAAACTGAAGAAACGAGTACAAGTCAGCAACAACCAAGTACATGCGATTTAAATAGCCAAAGTAGTGTAATTGATGAACCGAAACCTATAGTCAGCAAGTCATATAAAATGGTTGCAAGAAAATCTAGTGTTACGGGAAAGCCATTTAGCCCAACTAAGTTTCTGGAGCAAGAAACTTCTGCAAATAAAATATGTGATGATGACTCGACAAATGTGAAGAAATCAAAAATTAAGAAACAACTCAAGAAAAATATAATGTCCGATGAAGAGATCGATACCTCAAAATTTGCCTTAAGTACTACTATAAAACACTACAGTTCTTCCGAAGAAAGTGTAAGTGAATCTAACGATGATAATATATCATCAGCATCGGATACGCCGAAAAATAAAAAGGCGAAAAACAAGAAATATAAACGAATAACCGACAGCTTAAAGAAGAATACATCTAAAGAACTCAAAGAACTTTCAAAAGATTCCTTAATTGATCTCAAAGATACAACTAATTTGTTAGGGAATGAAAAACCTAGTAAACGACGTCTGAAATTACTGTCAATGTGGACCGGTCCCAAAAAACATAGAATGGCTTCCCTTAACGCTTTGGCAAAGGTACATTGCTTGTACGAAAATGAAAGCAGAAGCCACGTTGAGTTAGGCCTTATGAGAACTGTAGAGAGGCAACCTATTCCAGGTACCTCTAAAGCGACAGTTCCAAAAAAGAAGGAAACTAAATCAAAAGAATCGGATAAACAAGAGACCACCTCAGAATCAGAGTATGAAAATAAAAAAGAAAAGGAGAAAGATAGCTCAGACAGTTCAGACGACAGTCCTCCACAAAGAACTCTAAGAGGTGTACCAGGTATTAGAAGTGCTGGCAAATATTGGGACCCAAAATCGTCGACTTCCTCAAGTGAAGACAGTGAATTGGAATGTAAAACTAAAACGAATGTCGAAAGAAAGAAAGCTCCTGCTAAAACTGTAACCGTCAAATCGGATAACGAAAAACCATCTCCTAAAATGAAAAAGACAGCTGGTGTTCCTATCAAAAAGAAGCGCAACAGAACCGAAGTCGTTATGGACTTAAGAGACATGGTGGTTCAAAAACGCATGGCTAGCTTGAACGCTACAGCAATTCTAGCAGCTAGCTACGAGAAACGTTCACCAAAATCTAGTAAGGACGATACGACTTCTGACTCGTGTAGTGATGAATCTTTTTCTCAGAAGCCAAAAAACGTAATAGATTCCGGCGTAAAGTCGGAAGTAAAAAATGAGGAACCAAAAAAGGAAATTGAGGATTGCCCACTATCAGATAGGAAACAAAAAGTCGAGGTGATTGTAAATCAAGACACTGATGTGACGATAACAGGGGTTTATTCGACTCATCATCATGAAGGTTTCTGTACCGTGTCGGGAATGCAGTACCGTATTTCTTCGACAAGTCACACTCAGACTACAGCTACAGCTAATTGCGAAAAGGTAAGCCTTTCTCAGTTTTTTTTACCAAATTCCCTTCAATGTTTGTGTGTACTTATAAGTCACTAATAAAAATGACGATTAAAACCTAACGCCGTTACGTAATAAAGATCGTACCGTGGGCGTTTTGGATCTCATTAATACCCGGTAATGAAGTAAGTTCGACGTAAACACGCCTCGGGACTTTATCCCGCACATTATCCTTCATCGCTTCACCTAAATATTGCAACTTAAATTGAACCCTTTGCTGATAATTAAACGATTCATTTTCATTAAACACTTCAAATAATTAAACTTGTAAAGATTTCACATAAAGGATTCGTATAATCCTTGACGGTAATTGTTTTCTTACGTGTCTTATATTGCTTGTGGTAAACATTATCTGATTTCTTATTGGGCTCATAAGATTTCTATATTATTAATACAGATGCTAAAATATATGTGTCGATTTCATAAATAAATTAAACACTTTAAAATTTGTTAAAACGCGAAATGTATTAGTTGCCCTATCAAACCGTTGAAATTGTGTCGTTTATTTCTGTACCACTTGCGTAAATCACCTATAATACCATACGTAAACTCAATTAGCTTACTACAATACCCATAAGATTAAATCTTAAACTTCGCAGGAGGGATGCTCCCGAGACGATGGTGCAAGGTACACACCGCTCTCTGCTCTGTCTTCCATGCAGCCGCCAGCAGAACACACACACTCACACCCAGGTAAATAACAGGAAATTATAGGCAGTTTTAAAGACTATCAGAATCAGTAATGGACTATGCATAGAATAGCAATAAATTTCTCTTTAATTATATGTATTTTCGATAGTTTTAATTGAGTTTTTTATCGAACTTACACAATTCATATATGAATATTATTTGTTATTTGTTGTTGCTATTACAATACCTTATAATATAAATGTGTTTAGTAATTATTAATAGAGAAAGTATTTCCAACAGGTTATTTATTATATATATTCATACTTACATAACACTCCTATTGTCAATGAAATAAGACATTTTTAATAATATTACTTACCTAACTATAAAAGGGACATTTCTTACTAACTTCAAACTACCTTCTCTTAAATAAACAGATGTCTTTAATGAGTCCGTTTCGTGAGTCACTTAAGTCTGTTTAATTAGTAAATTCAATTAATGGAATATTTTGTTGCTATTAGTCCTTTGGAAGTTTCTGTTGACAAACAACATCTTGCAGATTTGGTATGGAACTACTACGTTAACAATTATTTTATTTATTAAATTTATCACACTATTGGTTTAATGGTCAAACTTAAAAACAATGCTACTTATAATGGAGGAAGTAAGTTCATTAATAGAATATTATATGCGTATAAAACAAAATGTGATTATTAAAAACCTTCATATACTCTAGAATTTATTAGAGAAATAGTGATTCATCATCATCATCATTATCAGCCCGTTTGGGTCCACTGCTGGACGTAGGCCTCTCCCAAAGCCTGCCACTCGGCCCTCTCTTGAGCTTTATTAATTAATTTGCTGCCGGGTACTTTCATCTGGTCATCTGCCCACCGTGCTGTTTGTCGTCCTACACTGCGTTTGCCTAATCGTGATCTCCAATCCAAAATGTAGACAGTGAGCACTGCTAATAAAATAAAAAATAACAAAACGAGTGTTATAAAGCCCTTGCTTTTGGTGGACAATATTGAATGTTTTTTTTTCTATGAAATTCCTATAAACGCGTTAATATTTTGACAAAATAGTTGATTGCTCTATACTTATTTCTTCATATGCAGTGTAACATATTTGCTTTAAATTTTATAAAATTAAACGTTTGACAAAATAAAAATTTCACCCTCAACGGGTTGTTTAGTTTGCTACCCTACACCAGTATAATAAAGGGGAAAACAAAACGCGAGAATTCAATGTTATTCGAGTTAATCATACCCCGCTCTCGTTCGCGACTTGCTGCTTTCGTTTTGTTTGCTGAGCGAGTGGGTGACAACTTCCAGATAACACATAATAATAATTTTATTTCCCATCACTTCACGCTCTGAGATAGCGTTTTATTTGTTAAACTAGGAAACTGTTTCATATATGCTCTTTATACAAGATGTATTATCGATGCTTTGATTGTAAAATTATATTTATTTGAGCGGCACTCTTAGCTGTGGGCTTATCAAATATTTTCATGTCCACTTAACTTACCACTGATTTATTTGTTGCTGCTTTGTTTTGCAGTAAAAATTAAGCATACAATTAGGTATTTGTTTAGGAGATATGAAATTAGTAATTCAGGAATTTTGGAGTATATTTAACCATTATGTCGCAATGTGCTAAATTTGCGCTATAATGTGCCGTCAAGTAAGTAGTTTTTAAGTTATTTTCTATACATACTAAGCATTGATTTTTCGGATGCACAAGAGACTATTGTAATTTTTCTAAAAAAGCAGTTCTTAATATGTGGACATAATCTTTTATTTATATTTCAAGTAATAGTTTTCGCGTGAATGAGTGGCAAAACTTTCATTTTCAAGTTATAAAAAACATAGTTACAGTTATAAAAAAATGATTTTATCATTAAGTTTTACCTTTTTAGGCCGTCAAACACAGCGGGCAAAAACTGGTTCTAATAACTGAGATATCGCTGACTGTCTGTCTTTTTAAGAACATCGGTATATAGCCTATTAAATTATGTTTTTATTATTTCAATTGAACCAGAACCTTTAAAAAGAACAAAATTAATATACTTTAATAATAAGCAAGGCAATAATTCATTTTATGTAACCCTTTGGATGCGAATCCGACTCGCACTTGGCTGGTATTTAAAAAGACAGCTCAGAAAACATCAGTTCAACATAAAAGCCATACGGTATAGAGATTTAGTTTACACTCAAAACATAACAGGGATCGATCGCAGCGGTCAAACACAGGTTTATTTTGACCCTTATATCCGCAAACAGTTAAGTGGCTAACTAGTCAGCTCGTGTTGACATGACAACTTATCACGAGTTATAAAACTTAGTGGCCAATCGTGCTTTTTATGTTTTAAGTTCCAACCACATCTGGTTTCGGAGATTCATACTTAAATGAATTGTAGGTATATAGAATAGTATTGTTGTTTGGTAGCAGGTTCGATGCTTCACTAAACGTGTTCTAAATGCAAAATTTTCAAAAATACTTAAATTTTGCTTTCTTTTCTTGTTAGACTCGCACCCTCTTAGGGTTGTTTAGTCGTCCCTTTAGACTACTTTAATTAACTGGTGGCCATTTGTATTACTTGTTATTTTTTTATAATACTTGTACTATATCTATGGGGATAAAACTTATTTATCCCCTTAGATATAGTACAAGTACAAACTATGCCTATAATGAACTGCCTTGTGCCGTATGCCTATAATGAAATGAAAATGTAAGTTTTCGTAAAATTATCTCAATCAATAACTATATAGACTTCCAAGAAACTATAAACCATGAAAGCTCTCTACGTTTGCTTTGACTCTATAAAATGTTGGAAAGCTTTAACGAAGTTTATTTCTCAAACTTTATAAAGAAACCTTAATGAGACAAACTGTTTAAAGAAAAGAAAAATTAAAAACAGTCAGTGAGACGGTTGGGAAATGAGTCTTGGAATTTTTATTGTTTACTTATGAGAGTCTCGAGGACTTTTGTTGGAAAACATGTACAAATTGCTGTATGTTTCTCGATGTTTAATGTTTGCATGTTTTCATTGTTGATTTTTCTAAGACTCGTAAAACGCTCTTTTAATGCTAGACGGGAAGCTATAGGCGTAGATTTTTCAATAGAATGTGAAATGAATAAAACGGATAATGCATAAATTATGCTGTTGTGTTTTAAACAATTTTGTGCACACTAAGGAGTTGAACTTGGAACTTCTTATATTTACTGCAATCTTAAACATAGTGTACAACTTTACACTACGTTTAGATTGTATTAAATACCCGAAGTTTAAGGTTTTTTATTGTATTTGTCAACAGTGCCAGAACTCGGTGGACTTGCGCGACGTCCCGGTTGCTCTAGTGCTTTCTCAGCGCCTTCGCCAGCAGCACATCATGATCCAGGTCAGTGCTGCATTTCCTACTCTAAGTATGATGGGAAAAAGTTATTTAAGTAGTTGGTTAGAACATTTATCGAGGAAGGCTAAAGGCTATAAAACATCGCGCTGCGAAGATACAGTAGGGAATGTGAACAAAACGGGGGAAAATTTTAATCTCTGTGTGTATCAGATGCGTACGTTGCGAAAACGGTTCAAGACACCCAAAAAATATGAATGATTTCTTTTTAAATGATCTAAAAAAGTCCGCGACACTAAATATCTATTTTTTTAAGATTAACTTGCAAGAACGACGGGACCCGCCCGCGGGGTCGCGACCGTCGGGACTCGACAGATGTCGTGGGCAGCTTATAAAACTTTTAGCAATGTTAATATTTATTATTATTAATTATTACTGTGTGAAATACACCTTACATCCAAAATAAAACAAAGCACAACGTTACTATACGATAACCGGATATTACAGTTTTACACGGAGCACATACATATGTAGGTAATGCATTAAATTGCCAGCTTAATTTTACGTTGTAAGCGGACTTGCATAACTGAAACCGTCGAGCTCTCTAATGAAAATGCAGTTCAAAAGGTGAAACAAACAGGGTAAACCAGGGCTGGTAATCATTGGTAATTCTCTAATATACCGTCCTAAATGTTTAAAGATAGAATTGTTTATTTGCCAATAGGACAATGTGTATAGATTATTCCGTAATTTGATGCTAACATTTTTTTACATGACCACGGCTGCTGCAAAGCATCCGAAACGTCGGGCCGAAGTTAAAAATCATTTTCAAATAAGTTTACCTAACATATCGCGTTTTAAACCGTTAAAATGTTTTATTTAAATGTGTACTACTCGCGTAAACTATAGACAGTATTTTATTACTGTTATTGTAAAAGTGCGTGTTTCTTTTTAAAATATTGACAATTAACAATAAGTTTTAATTCATCGATGTTTATGAATGTATGAATATTAATCAGTTTATTTTCATTATAATAGGGCATTACCTACTTTAACTGCTATTCAATCCAAATGTACTTTGTACGAAAATTTTGAAAGGCTACAAGTTACAAGCGGCGAGTTTACAATTTATCAAGCTGTCAAGGCGCCAAAGCTTTGCGCTATCAGATGTCAGCAGCCAGATTTTGAATAGACGATATGTAGACCGACTATTCTTAACGGCGTCATTTAAACTCTCCTTTTTCATAGTTCACTTTCTGCGTGCAAATCGTTAATTTTCAGGGTTCCCTAGCCAAAACGATTTGTATTAAATTATCAGAATCTTAACTATCACCATGTATGTGTCACTGTAGATTAGAATATATATAAAATTGTATATATACGTTGTAATTCTGTTGCGTTATAATTGTCCTTCCCAGCATTTTTAACACCCTTCGTGTTAGAGTTATCTTGCACTGGGGCGTTTTTATTTATTTATTTATTACTATCGTTTAAAGAGCTCCTAAATAGTTTGTGTATTAAAAAATATACGTTATTGTTTAATTGATTCTATGTATATATGCCTTGTACTTAAAACAACCGCAAAATTGGTCGGGATCGTGTAATTTCGAAACATTGGTTTCAACTGAAAAAGTGTCAGACAGATAGCATTTAAATAAGTGATAAAACGAAATGGCTCTCCTTGTTGAATAGAGCACCTTATCACCTTAATAAAATTCATTTCTCCCCACTGCCAAGAGACAACCCTAATGCCGCAAAGATTTGAGAGTTTCGTTTGATATCGTACAACTTCCCTCAGTTTCAAGCCAACATTCGGTTAAGTAATTAATTCTTTTGCCGTTGCGCTTGAATAAATCACTTTTCTGTCGACTTGAACATTAAACGCGGCGTATTTTAAATTTTAAATCAATTCTCAGCCATTCATGAGACAAAAGTGTGAAGTAATAAAAGAATAATAAATTTTCCTTGGAATTATTTTACACTAGCGTTTATGTGCGACGCGCTATGAATTGAATGTGATTTGTGATGACGTAAGCTTTACCGGGAGGCATTCAAGCTTGGATTTAGGAGAGAATAAAACGGTAATTATTTATTTAACTGCGTAAGGCGGAGGCTTATGTTTTATTTGTACGGACGAAGGCTTCGTCGCTTGTGTCAAGAAAGATGGCGCTCCCAACAACAGTTTTAAAACCGTATTTGTCATTTTATATAATTTATTGTGTATTTTAAATTATTTTCGACAAACATGTTGTAGTTTGAAGAGGTAAGAAGTAGAAATTTATTGTGAAAATTCTATTCATTAAATATTGTCATTTTAAACAAATTAAATAGTTCAATGTAAAGGTAGATATACAATTACCAGTATTATAGTCATTTTTGGAAAGTGAAACACATTAAAGTATTTTTACCTACGAAATCTTATATTGATACACACATGTAAAATACTTAACCACGAACGAGAAATAATCACGAAAAATAAAACTACACTTACGTGTGATTTGATAAGATCGTGGGACCCGACACGTTACTCGAGGACAAATTATTAAGGAAACGATGTTCTTGAACATAACATAGCAGACGCTTTGCTCCATCGTAAAGGATTATTGGATGGAAATGTGTTCTCATTCGTTTCATGACTTTCCGTAACGTTTTGTTTTATACTGATTTTTATCTCGGAACATTGGATAAAAATATTTAACCTCATAATCTCGTGTTATATACGCAAAAATATCAGATATAAAAAACATTATCTTTTTTATAAAAGATCCAAGGATCAAAGCTATATTTCTCATAAAGAAAATAATTTTATAAGTAAATTTCAGGTAAATTGGTTATCATATTACAAAGAATGGGTATAGTAGAGTAATTATAAGGGTAATACAAACCTATACAAAACAAGGTAAATTTTATTAATGGAGACTTTACCATTGAAGTGTGCATAAAAAAAATGTGAAATCCCAGTTCCCGCCGTGGGAGATGGGGCGAACACATTTCTGTGTCCGTTTCACTGTTCAGTTTCATTATTTACTGACAAGTTGTTAATCAGACCGTTTCGCCAGGATCTGTTTCGCTTAACGTACCGTTTGACCATTTCGCTATAGTGACCGGTGACCGGTGAGAAAAAAGGAAAATATGGTTATAGAAAATGGTTAATTTTTTTCTGGTTACCAATATTTTGACTCTCGTCGACCCAAGGAGGTGCAAAATCGCTCCTCCTAATATTCTACAACTATCTTATTACTACGTTTTCAGGACTTAGATACCTAATAATCGTAAAGTTGTGTTGTCTAACTAATACATTAGGGATTAACATCCCTGGATTTGCTTCAGCTAATATCACTCTCAAACCGCACGCTCAGCGCTACTGTTAATCGAGCTATTATTAAAATATCACTAGAGATCATAATTGCAATCACTGACACATTATAATGTCGGGACTGAATAAGATGATGAAGTGATCTGATGATTTATAACAAGGAGTGGTCTAAACGGTTTATCGCGATATACATATTTATTAAATTTATTTGAAATTTAATTTAACTGTGGCCCGACGTTTCAGATGTCCCCATTATAATTTTCAAATAAGTTTAACTAATATATATCGCGTTTTAAACCGTTAAAGTGTTTAAATAAAATTTGTACTACTCACGTAAACTACAGACAGTATTTAAGTAGTGTTCTGCGACATTAGATTCGATAAATATAAACGTGAAAATGTCACCGCTTTGCTTTGCACTTAGTCCCGTGGGAAATATCATTTTAAAGAGCTTATTTATAATTTTAGAGTGTCAGCTTGTACGTGTTAAAACAACTACTTCACTTTATATGTAACAGGTTTCCATCTTACAACGTATCCGGCGTTCAATTTTTAACAATATTTAACGCGGGTTATAGTAGAAAAACGTCTGTTTTCTTTATTATAATTCAAGCATCAAAATTCGTCTTAATAAATTTAGCTGTTTTTACCCACAACGTCGCGTTCCGTTGTTCTTGCGATAATCTTAAAAGATAGACATATAGGGTCGCGGACATTTTTAAATAATTTAAAGAGTACAATCATGCTTTTATACATATTTTTTTCGGGTATCTCGAACGGTTATACTTGCGCATGCAACGGAATCTCTCGGAGATGAATATCCTCGATAAATTATGTATCTAATTTAAAAAAGATTTTTAATTTCGAACCAGTAGTTTCTGAGATAAGCGCGTTCAAACAAACAAACTCTTCAGCTTTATACATTAGTAAGGATTAAGTAAAACAATAAATACAACAACTTATTTTACTCAACCGTTGCTGGTTATTTACCACGGAAGAAAATTACAAGGAACGAGAGAAAGAAAAGTATCACCATCTTCATTAAGAGAAGTCCTTAGATAATAACATAACACAATCTATTTGCGAGCGCGATCGTAAAACAGAAACTTGTTATCGTAAATTGTGAGATGTACGGTAGAATTGACTTCTCATACGATACAAGAATCATTGCGAGCTCATGCAAGACAATATCTTATCTGTACGATAATATAACGTGTTCTCGATGCAGATTTACGACCAACTCAATATTGTTTCAAAGCATATTTATCAGAGGGTTTTGTTTTCTAATTTTTATAATATACACTTTACAATCTGCCGGTGCACGATTGGTAGGTATAGACACAAGTAAGCACTCCAGCCATATAACGTTTTAACCACAAAGCTATACATTTGAATGTTAGTAACTTTCGCGGGATATTTGGGTGAATTTTCTTCGAAAACTACCAAACGGTATATGCCTGCTTTTATTTTCTACAAGTAAATAATTGTCAAATAAAAAAATGTTTGAATTATACACGATTGACAGAGACGTATTTAACTTCTTTTATAATAGCCTCCATTAGTACTCGACAGACGAGATGGTAGGTGTCCCAGCCATATAACACCCAAACGATGTGATGTCGACTTATTTTAGCTTTGGATATTCGAAATACACAGATAGAGACTGAAACGCGATTAAACTTGATGGCTTTTTCATCTGTGGACTTTGGATCAGATCACGCACCACCTGGACGGAACTTAGACGTTCCTACCACCCGATTTTACATCTTTAAGGGTAATATATTG